ATACGATGCTTCTACTCATACAATCGCAGAGTATCAGCCCGATTGATTTAAGGTCATAGGGTCAATCAACCTAATCATCAAATCTGATGATTAATCCATTTCCATAATCGCAATCGCGAATCTCAGATTGAATATCCACGATCGCACGATATCAATCTGAGTTGGGAAGGGAAACGAAACTGATTTAAAACAAAGCGCAGATCCTCAAGACTAATCCATGGAATCTGTTACCCTTAGGTTGATTAAAAGGTTCTTAGCCTCGCATGGCTAAGGTAAATATAATTAAAAATTAAAAATAATAAGAACAGAAGATGAAGAAGAAGAAAAGAATTGAAATTCAAAGAAAACTTCTCTGTCGTCAAACTCCCAAAATCTGACTGCCGAAGGGTTTCCTAAAGTCTCCCTTAAATAGCCGTCATTCAGAACGGCTAGGGTTTCACTGCTTCGGCCCATACATAAAATAAGAACTGAATAAAATAAAATAAAAAAATAAAACATGGCCTTGGGCCCTAAACACATTGGGTCCTAATGTGAATTACAAGTCCAAACGTCAAAATAAAATTCCAGCAAAAACATGTCATCTTGAGCTCAGGTTTTGACCATCTTCCCGTCCGCATTTGGATTGAGTAGCTGAAATAGAGATTGTAGCCCTATCTGTTAGCCGCAAAACGCAACAAGAAAGTAGTCAATCGGACATCTCTAGAGTGAGATATGGTCAAAATACGAAAGTAGTATAAATCTGGAAAATTATGACGAAAATCAATTAAACCCAATCAGAATCTAGAATCGTGATTTGACCCAAAAGACCTTTATTTAATTCAAATAAATCATAAAAATATCAACCAAGAGTAATAAATAAGTGTAACAAAATATGTGTTATCAAATTCCCCCACACTTAACTTTTTGCACTCTTGGGCAAAAACTAAAATTGAAAGCAAAGACTAAGATCAACCAATCCTTTCTAACAATTACCAAGCATACAGACAATATACAAAGATCACAAGTCTTCCACAGATAAATCAATCAGGACAAAAATTCCCTAATCTCAAATCACAAGACTTGCTAATTTCAGCTGCACATGCCAATTACAGAAAATAATTTCTCACAGGATGCTCTCAATATTTTTCTCTCAAGTGTATCAGGTAATCAGTGTATCACTCAAATCTACTCAAGAAGATCATTCTACCATAGGCTTGCTCAAATTCTACTTCTCCACTGCTACTAACACATGTATGCACAAATCAATAGGGCTTTATGCAGGGTTGTAATGAGGCTGAGGTGAAGGTATGGATGAAATGTGAAAAAGAAGGTTAAACACCCCAGAAATCTACAAGAGCAAAAGTTAAGAAATACACAAAGATAATGAAAAGATAAAAATAAACACACATTTTTTTGTTTGTTTTTTGTTTTTTTGTTTTGTTTTGTTTTTTTTTTGTTTTGTTTTTTTGTTTTGTTTTTTTTTTGTTAACACAGTAGAACCACATAGCAGAGAAAAGAATCAGATTGTCACCCCCCCATACTTAAACTTTTGCACGCCTCGGGCAAACCCCCACACTTAAACACAACATCATAGTGAAAACCATTGCTCAGTAAATCTCCAGGGTGTGGAATTAATTGGGTTTTCACTTAGGCTCGTAATGTGACTAAAGAAATAAAGGATATAAAGGCTCAAAAGGGCTCACCAAGGGATAATAACGTAAGGGATGGCTATCTGGCTAAAGTGGGTAAAGAAAGAAATGAATGCCTCAATCATATTCATGCATGTAAGTGAAAAATGCAGTTTCAAAAAGAATCAGAGCAAGTTCTAGAGAACAAAGATCAAGCGCAGGAGCACACAAGAAAGAAAGCATGGCCAGAAGATATGCCATATATACAGGCTCAAAACCTCACAAGGGTTAACCAAATCATGCAATCAACATCACAGCATCAATCAACAAGTATTGCAATCCAAGAATTGAGATCAAAGCCTAACAGACTTTACTATCAAACATTGTGATCTAAGTCTACTCCATGTAACACTCAATAATAACCAGAAAGAAAAGGAAAATCTACCTATGAAAATCAAAGACTGAAAGAAAGAAAGAAAAAGAAAAATGCAAATAACAAAAAGAAAAAAAAGGGAAGAAGACTCCCTGAACTCCCTAAGGAGGATAAACAACATCAGTGAGCAGAGCCTCTGTCTCCACAGGTTGCTTCTGGGATCCTTCATGAACAACTTTGAGGTGATGGCCAATCATTGTGCAAATCTTCCCCATCTGCTTATCGCGCAACTTTGGGGGCTTTCTTTTCTGTGTGCATTTCTTCTTCTCTTGATCCTTTCTTCCAACCTTACGCAAACTTTTTTGCATACTAAAAATAGAGGAAGAACTTTTTGGTACCCATTTCATCTTGGGTCCGTGAAAGTTAGGATCAAAATCATTACCAGAATAGGGAGTCTTGCCTAACTTCACATTTAGTACACATTCAGAATTAACATTAATAGGCAAGTCATAATCCATAGGTAATGCACAATCACTAATCAATTCAGAATCAACCTTATCAGCCACATCATGAATCACTTTTATGCATGAAACTGAATGATCAACCTGAACCTTAGAATGCTTCATGGAATCAAATATACTAAAATGTAAATGCTATCACCAAATTCCATGGATAGAGTACTAGAATGAACATCTATCTTGGTCCTAGCTGTTCTCATGAAAGGCCTACCAAGTATAATTAGTGATCTATTAGTAGTAGTCTCACTCTCCATTTCTAAAATGTAGAAGTCAGCAGGAAAAATCAAATTATTAACTCTGACCAATACATCCTCAATCAAACCAGATGAGTGAATATTACTCCTGTTAGCTAATGTAACCACAATACTAGTAGCACGCAAAGGACCAAGACCAAGAGACTTATACACAGATTCAGACATGACATTAATGGAAGCCCCGAAGTCTAGCATGCAATCATGAAAAACAGAATTGCCAATCACACAAGGAATATTAAATGTCCCTGGATCTTGACACTTTTTAGGCATAGGATGGATGAGTGCTGATACATTCTGACTTAGGTTAACTTGCTCATCTCCTTTCAGTCTCCTCTTGTTGGTGCACAGCTCCTTTAAAAACTTGGCATATCTCAGAATCTGCTGTATTGCATCCAGAAGAAGGATGTTCACCTCAACTTTTCGGAAGGTGTCAAGTATTTCTTTATCTTGAGCCTTTACTGATTGCTTCTTGAACTGAGTGGCTCTCTGAGGGAATGGTAGAGGGATATGGACATCAGATGTATTAGTGCTCTGCTTCTTGGAACTAGTGTCACCTCCCTTAGATGACTCAGCAGCAGCTTGGTTTGGCTCCTCCATTTGCTTTCCAGATCGCAAAGTAATAGCACTCACATTTTTGCTTCCTTTTGGATTTGGAACTGTTTGGGATGGAAGGGAGCTGCCACTTGCTTGTTGATTCTGACTCATTGATGTTGCTAGTTGGCCAATCTGTGTTTGCAGAGTCTGGATGGAAGACTCAGTCCTCTGCTGGAATTGCAGATTGTTAGTTGCCATCTGCTTCACTAAATCCTCCAAAGAAGGACCATTGCTACTGGCTTGCTGCTGCATTGGTTGCTACATTGGTGGCTGCTGCATTTGTTGCTGCTACATTTGCTGTGGAGCTGCAGATTGTTGGAAATTCTGCCTCTGCTGTGAGGGTACAAACTGCTGCCTCTGCTTGAATGGTGCATTTTGCTGATTCTGGCTCCACTTGAGATTTGGATGATTTTTCCAGCCAGGATTATATGTATGAGAGAAAAGATTGTTTTGCTGCTGCTGGTACTGTGGATTTCCAGGAAAAACTGCAGCAACAGACTGATTAACTTGGAAACCGCTGTCTTGTAGAGAAGGACAAGCATCCGTGGGGTGAGAAGGATCACATCAGATGTCACACGGGTTGCTTGTCTGTTGAGCAGAAGGTTGCACTGTCTGTGTCACTGCCAACTGCCTCACCATTGATGTCAACTCATCAAGCCTGTTCTCTATTCTCTGGTTATCTGTGCTTGATGCTCCTGCTGCTGCTGCCATTGTTGGATTCTGCATAGGAGAAGTTTGCACTTGGAAAACTGTACTGCTGTTTGCTCTAGTGCCTTAAACACACTGTATTAGAAATAATAGCTACACTTATCATTTTAATATCAAACTTCATATTCTGAACCTAGCCATTTTTCTAGGATTTGTCGTATTTTTATATTAATTTTTGGTACGCGTTTTAACACTGACAGTATTAGTTCCGACATCAATTCTCATTATTTTGACTTCAAAATTGTTTTACAAGTCCTATATATTATTCTAGGAATATTCATGCACTTATTATAATTTTCTGAGATACTTCACCGGTACGCATTTATACCGAGTAGCATAACCGGTATCTGCACTTTTCGTCAGAAAAGCGACTTTCAGCATTATTAATCACTTTCTATATTTATTTAAGCCTCATGATAATTATTAGGGTCAATTATAAAATTATTTCCTAATTTCACATAATTAATTAATTAACTTCCTTAATTAACGGTGCAGGTTCTTACACCCTTGATGGCCAATTGTCTTATTTCTGTAATCAAATATTTACAATGATCAATGAAGTCGCAAATCTCTGCCGGGGTAGTGAGGGGATTCACCATCATCTCAGCCATCTTCAAATGATTAGGAGCAATCGCTCCATTAGCAAGCCTAACCAAGTTTGAGAAGCGAGTCATCCAGAAAGCAACTTCTTCTCTAATCTCTGCAATGACTTCTTCTTGCTCTTGAATATGGTCTCTTAGACTCTGCATGTCTTCCTGCCCTCTTTGGATTGCATCCTGATATCCGGCCACTGCTTCTTCCATATGGTTTTGTATATGGGCCGCTTGTCTTAATGCATCATTTTAAGCCACTTTACTACTTCTAAGTAACTTCTTGATTTGTTGGTTCTCAGCCAGGGCCTTATCCCTTTCTTGCCCTCGAAGTCCCAATTCCTTGTTTGCCGCTTTCAAGCAATCTTGAGTTTTAAGCTTGAGGTGCTCTTCGGTTCTAGCCTTTTTATTACTCCCTTCAAAATTATGGTCTCTCTCAATATTTTTTCGTATGCCCGACTTGTTTGCCTTGCTTCTTCTAACTCTTGCTTTAGCTTCTTTTTCTCTGCTTCGACCTTCATCAATCTAGTCTTCACCTCTTTCAACTCTTCATCCTTAACAGGTTCGACAATTGGTGTTTCGCTAACTGCAGGAGTTACAGGAATTTGGAACTGTAACTTGACTTTTTTAACTCGGTCTTTAAGCCATTGACGATAGTTTTCTTTGCAATCACAACTTCTTACCCCCAATTCTTTACCTTTTCGTACTACCTTACCCCAAGCACTCCAGACCTTTCTGATAATCACAGTATTCTCAGGATTCAGATCATAAAGGAGGAAAGGAATTGTCATATCTTCAGTAGGAGCCTCTTTCATAGGGTAACCAAGTTGTCGCAATGCCAAAGAAAGATTGTAATTGATACATCCACGAGTACCTTGCAAAGACATATTGGGAAAATCCCCACATTGGTAAACCAAAGCTTGTATTCTTGCCCATTCAAGATACCATCGAACACTTTTTCCATCAAGCTTCGCCAAAGTTTGCACCCACTCACGACCACTTTTAGCTTTCAACTGATACATCCGAAAAGCAGTGATTGGGCACGCTGCTTTGTATCCTCTATTAAACATATGAGCAGTGAGCCATATGAACAACACTGGTAAACAACACAAGATCCTCTTCCTTTTCCTTTCATGACAAAAGCTCAAGGTATAGTAAACATCAACAAGAATGGTTGGGATGGGGTTTTCACGTTTAAATTTGTGTGCCACAAATACTTCAATGGCTGCGAAGCCCACAAATTCATCAGTATTAGGGAATATGAGAATGCCATAAATAGTGAAGGCCAACACATCGATGAAAGTATCCCATTCCCCTACTCCTGCTAAGTGGTGAAGATGTTCTTCTAGATACTTTCTCGAAAATCACACAGTTTCATTTTGAATTTGCCTCCTTTCCTGTAAGTCTCTCACCTGAACTTTCAAAATCTCAGCAACAACGAGCATGGAAGGGTAATGCCCAATATAACGATAGGGCTTCTTATCTTCTAAAGATAGCCTGAAGATTCGCTCAAATTCTTCCAATGTAGGGGCTAACTGAAAATCTTGAAAAGTGAAGCATCACAGAGGTGAATCATAATATTGAGCAATTGCAATGATTGCCTCAACTTGTACATCCACCTCCAATAAATCTAGGACATTCCCGTACATCCTAGTGAGGGTCAATCGATGTGGTCTCGCTGTGATTTGATCCCATATTTATAATAATGATATTCACAATCAAACTAAAGTTCAACAGTTCTCCAACAAAACTTTCCTACAATGGTGTAAAATAAACAATGTAAATGAGTAAGTACGAAAAATGATGCATAATGATTTTTTTTAAAAATAATAATAAAATAAAATAAAATAAAATGATGTAGATAATATTTATGCCTATCATGATTCATTATGCATTTGCATGAATATTTGAAATATGAATTTATGATGATTCTAAAACAATGGAAACATATAGAGAATGTGAATAAAAGTAAGAAGGATATGTGCTCCCTTTGTGTCCTGAATAGGTTTCTATTAAATTGATAAACCTTACTGTCATGAGGTTTTACTAATGTGTGGGAGCTCTCATTTTGGTGGTTCTATAAATATGGGAACCTTGGTCTCTAGAGCTCGGATCTCATTTCGAAATAAAATAGTCAAACATGATATACATCCAAAATGACTACAATCCCAAAGAGTCACGCTCTAAATGAGGCTTTCATGATAACCAAACAGGACGTACATCCAAAATGGATACCACTACACAACCTCTTACCTAATCTTATGTTTCACTCAAACCCAGGTATAGGGGCCCGCTCATAATTGTGTGAGTTATGTGAGTGCAATGTATGAAAGGAGCATACAAACTTGTACATCTTATAATAACTAAATTTCCAAAGCTGCAAAACAAAGAAAAAATAGAATATATACAAAGGTTGTTTACTCTAAGGTTAAAACCAAACAAGATACAAATTTATTAATTCAGCTATACATATACCAGCAACATATGACAAACATAGATGTATAAACATGATGTTCAATGACAGTATTTACACAAAAGGTATAAAAAAATAAAACAAATAAAAGATGGATGAAACAAATAAAAAAAATTTAGGAATAATTTGCACAACTAATGAAACAGGCTTGACTCTCCAAATTTCCCCAGTGAAGTCGCCAGCTGTCGCTACCAGATCGCGACGTGACGACGAAAGAAATGAAAGTTAAAAAATAATGGAGTCGCCATCAAGGTTTATTTGGAAAAACATCGGAAAAATCCTTTTTGTTTGAAAATTGGTCTTTGAAAACAGAATTGGATTAGGGAGTCGATTGCGAGTAGGAAATGTGTTAGGACCCTACCCCGTCCGTTTAAAAAAATAGTTACCTTATATTAATTGTGCAAACTATTGATAAGATTTTAATATTTTATTTCACCCTAAAGAATTAAATAAAATTGATTAAAGAAAAGAAAACTAATTTTTGTAAATTTATTTTTTGTGCCTGAAGGGATGGGTCTCGCTCCCACGTATCCCTCGGTATAATAAGGAACTCAAAGCTACGTCGTTCTGTAAAAAATATTTGTGTGTTGGTTGATTTTAATTTTAACAATTAATTTTAAAGAAATTCATTAGAAAGTTTCTAGATTTGATGATTTATATTTATTTCATCAGTTTTTATTTTTATTATTTGTAAATTTTATAATAAATTTTGAATCACCAAACCATTACGGCTAAAATGAGCCAAAAGATTGCTGGATTAACAAGCTGTCTCATCTCAGCTAATTCTTTTAAAAATAGATTTGATGTTATTATTTTTATTATTGTAAATTTTTGATGATTTTTATTGAATTACCAAATCGTCGCGGTCAAAATGACCCAAAAGACCACGAAATTAACAAGTCGTCTCGGCTAAATTAACCCTGTATAATAGGATAATTTTAATTTTACTATCTTTATTATTATAAATTTTATAAATTTAAATAAGTTTTGAATCATTAAGCTGTCACGGCTAAAATGAGCCAAAACAAAATATGTGAGGTTAACAGGTCGTCACGACTAAATTACCGTCAATTACCAATACAATTATTTCTTTTATTTTTAGTGATTAAGAAAAACATTGTTGTTACTATTTATTATTATTTTCATTATTTAACTTCTCAGACTCACACGCATATACTAAGCCACTGTACTCTTTAAGAATAAAATTGATATGTCAAGCTTTCTCTAAAGTTGTCAATAAAAAAACAAAAAAAAAACAAGTACGATGCAATAAAAATATAGTACATGATGGAAATGAAATAATAGAAAATTTATTATTTATTATTCGTAAATAAAAAAGAGCCTCATTATTTTAATCTTTCACTTTTATTGTTCAGCCATTTCACATTAATGCAAACAAATGAAAGTGTTGTGCTTGGTTGCGTGCAAGATTAGATATACATACTTTTCCTTTTGGTTTCATCTCATTTTATATCATGATTATTGAAACAGGACATCAAATGGATAAAGTCACAAAAACATGTTTCATGAAAAATATCATAAGGTATGTGATAAACCATTGGTTTACCATGGTTTTAGGCTTAATTATACTCAAAATATATCATGAATTGCATGAAAATTAGGATTTTATACCATAAAGTCACAATAATTGAATATCTGGCTAACATGTTGTCATATTTCTTATTTCAAAGAATTTTTGACATCTATTATGGCCCTTTGGAACCAAAAGAAAGCAACAAGAGGAGTGAAGCCTCAAGGAAGCAAGATTCCAAGTATCTGCAAGCTGGAGGAGGACGTTTTGGCGTCCAAGAAGAACATTTAAACGCTCTAAATGAAGAAAACCACAGTAACTCCCTGGACCAGAGCATTTTGGCAGTCCAACAGCATGCCAAAACGCTCATAGGCAGACAACAACACACTGTGAGAATGTTTTAGCGCACAAACATCACGCTAAAATGTCTAGGCACGACCAAATCTAATCCCAAAAGAGATTTTATATCTTCATCAAGATGTGCATCATATTTTATAAAAATACAAAGTGGAAACAAATCAATCTTGATTGAGAATAGATATAAATCCATGGGAAGATATAATGGAAGATCACAACAAAGATTCAAAGCTCAAATCTGTCAACCAATCTTCAAGATCTTAAATGCAAAGAGGAAACAATCGTAGAATCAATTATAAATCTGATACAGATTCGTTGGGAGATTGAATGAAGGATACAACTCTAATGATTATAAATAAAGAGCTGAGGGGCAAGACTGATTCAGAAACCAATTCACATACTCATCCAGACACCAAGACTGAAGGAGGAATCCTGTTGCGGAGCGCTGAAACACTGAGGAACCAAGTCAACATCACACCAATGGAGGCTTGGGGTTCTCTTTTCTTTATTATTGTTTTTCAATTTAGTATGCTAGAGTAGTCTTTTATGTAGTTAAGGGTAGATGGAACCCAATTGAATCTTTATGTTTATGAATTAAATTATCTCTGAATCCTGTTCTTTTTATAATTGAATAAATTTATCTGTTTTTAATGCTTTCTATGAGTTTGTTCCTTATAGAATGATTTTGGGGAATTGTATGACAATAGGGATGTTGGTGCATGAACCCTGACTTGATAATTTATCATAATCCTTGTGATCTAGGGATAGACATAGGGTAATTATGCAATTTTGAAATTCTTGATCTTAATGCATGTTTTCTTTGGGAATAATCGGGGAACTAGAGTTCTTTCAAGATTACATAGATTTATGGTAACAAGGAATTGAGCCATAATTAACTTAGATAGAATTGATTGGCAATATATTAAGAAACAGATTCTTGACTGTTAAATTCATAACGTATTGAGGATATTGGGGGAAGTCGAAACCTTAACTACGCTTGTTTTAAATTCTTAATCAAACATCATCTTCATTCATTCTTTAAATTCTGAATTTTCTTGATTGCATGCTTTTACTTGTTTTAATTTTAAGTTCTTTGAACAACCATTCTTTCAAACCCAACTTTTGATTGTCCAACTAAAACACGATTAGCGAACTAGTGCTTGAAGATTCTGATCCTCGTGGGAACGATCTCGTACTCTGGTACACTTTATTACTTTACGACCGGTGCACTTGCCGAGTCGCAACAGTATGCTCTTCTACATAATAAATAAGATGGGATTAAAGTAAAAAGTCTATATGTATTTAATATATACACATATAAGAAAACATGAGTCACAAATCGTGGAGGAAAAAAAATGAAGCTTTCGAGACTGTGACATATATCCCCAAACAAAAACCTGAAAGATACATAAGAGTAACCCAAACATACAAGCATGTATGATAGCATCATAGACCCTATAACTCAAGCACATAGGACAACAAAATGTAGAATATGAGTCTCAAGATGCTTGCTTCAAACCAGATAGGGCTTACATTACAAAGAGAAAGGAAGAAAAACTGCACCATGATATGACAACCAACTTTGGCAGCCACAATAAACATAATAGATGGGATATCTTTTTATTGAAATAGAAAGAAGTAGAAACAGACAGAAAGCAACTAGAAAATGGGTAGCCACTCATCTTTATTTTATGGCATGTGCATATATAAAACAATAAGGAAATATCAAAATTGGAAAAGTCTTACTTAGGTGTCGAGTTTCAATTTTCGTGCTTGTGACAATCAGATACTCCAATTCCAACAGTGTAACACCCCGTATATATCCGGTTTGTTATCATGTCATCGTATTAAGCCACGCTTAATTTAAAAATACGGAATATCTTTTTCTTTTCAATCATGACGTCATTATCAATTACCAGCTTGATTACTTAATCATTTTTCAAAACATCGCCTGTATGTAAATTACAAAAAGACAACTATCTACACTGAATAACCTCATAACATATATAGGTGAGTATCTAAGTCACGGATCTACAACATGTAGTCCGGACAATATCCTGATACATTATTAATTACAACACAAAAACTAAAAGCGTAAAGTCAAGTCAATGTGGCACTGAAAATCTCCATGCTCACCAAATAAACAGCATAGTCAACAAGGTCTCAACAAGGTAATCCATAAATGAAGCTACATCATAAAGCAGTAAACAGGATCCAGCATCCAAGTATAACATCAAAACAGCATAAGCAGCATAAGCATATATCATCAATCAACTAAGCTCTGGCCT